ATCACCTGCCCGCGTCTGAGGCTAATCTTTGTTTTATCTCAGCATCTCCCGGCTTCAAAAGGATTCCTCTCCAGCAGGACACGAGGCAGAGGCAGCGCTGGGAGGGGGATGCCCAGCGGGGCCCGCGGGTTTTTCATGTCTCGCCGAGGGTTTTTTTCCGCGTGTTGTCGCAGCTTCTTGAACATCCCCGGCTCTGCAGGGGAGGGGGACAGGCGCCTTTCCCGGCTGCCTCTCCGGGCTCGTGTCTTTTAAAGCCCTTTTTCCCCTCGGTCCCTGCGAATCCCTGGAAAAACCACCTGGAGTAATCCCGGCATCTTGGGCATGAAATACTCAGGAGCCTGATGCTGCTGGGCTTGGATGGGCGTTGGGATGGCAGCAATTAGCACCCAATTAGGCCCTCGGTCACCAGCAAGAGTCTCCAGGAATCCCACTGCATTCCCATATGGAGCATCCAGTGTGCTGGAGCAGCCGGGCTTTATTCCCTCCCTTTATTCCCTCTTAATCTGAGGATTGTGGAGTGGTTTGGGTTGGAAGGGGCCTTACAGGAATCCCATTCCACCCCCTGCCGAGCTGGTTGCTCCAACCTGGCCCCTGGGATGGGGTGTCCGCATCCTTTCCCTGTTTCCCTACATCCCTTTCCCTGGGATGTAGCCCCTGGAACTGCAGCGTTCCTGCTCCTCCCTGGTGGTCCCTGCCTCGGGATCTGGAACGGGGAGGAGGAATTCTGGGGTGGGTGGAAGGAATCTGCTCCGTTCAGCCTCTGCTTCATTTGTTCCCGGTGTTTAATTTGCTCAAAAGCCTCCTGAAAACAAACCATTCCTATTTAAGGAACGAAAAAATGACGCAATTTCCCGTCGGTTCCCGCGGCTCCAGGCAGGTACTGCTGGAAGATTCAATCACTGCCTGGACAAAGCTGACATTTAATTAAGAAGGGAGGAAAGGAAGCTGAGGGAAATAATGTATTCCTGCTCCTCCTGCGGGGTGTGTGAAGTGCAGGGGGGGAAAAAAGGGAGCTGAGGAGCTTTTCCGCTGGGAAATGCCAGGGCTCATCCTCGGGGTGGGAGATTCCTCCAGAGGGGCCACGACCAACCCTCCTGTCTGTCCATTCCGTGGCTGAGTCTCCCTGGGAACCTGCAGCCTGTCCTTCTGTCCCCCTGGGCCGTCTGTCCATCCTCTTCTCCGCTCTTCCCGCTCCTTCAGGGAATTCCAGTTCCCGACCTGGGGGATCCCTCCCTGTGCGAGGGGTGGGTTTGTGTCAGCACAGCCAGGTCACGGATACCCCTGGGAATAATCGTGGAAATGGTGGAATCACACAGTGTTTGGGGTGGGAGGGACCTTAAAGGCCACGGGGAAGGGACACCTCCCGTGGAACTTCTGCTCCCGTCGCTCCTCGTGCTGATCCCACGCGGGAGGGAAGATGGGACGGGGGAACCAAGCCAGGAATCGGACTGAGGGATGGAAATCAGCTCCTCGTGGCCCTCCCTTATTCCTCCTGCTGCTGCTGGTTCTCCCCATCTCTGCTGGTTCTCCCGGGTCAGGCAGCGAGGTGGGAGCATCTCACCCCCACCCCGCTACCTTTTGGGGGGGTTTTCCTCCCCCCTCCCTTCTCGACTTCAAAAGAAGAAAGGAAAACTGTAATTCCCAGCCTCAGGCACTTTAATTGCACTCCGAGCTGGAAGGTTCCAGGGGGGAGGATAAATCCAGGCAGTGAAATTTTCGGGCCCTGTAACGACGCCCGGGAGAGGCCAAACGAGGCCGGGAAGTTTATGGGGTCTCTGCCGGTGGAGCAGCGCTTGGAGAGGGCTTGGGGAGCAGGGAGGGATGGAGGAATGAGGGTGCCAGGCTTGGAGGGGGTTCATTCCCTCGGGAATGAGGGCTGGCTCCCTCATCCCATGCCCCCTTGTCAGGGTGGGGCGACAGAGGTGGGACAAGAAGTTTCACCGCCTGAGTTCAGCTCTCACTTAGATCTCCTTCCTTTAATCCCATTTATGTTCCCCTTTGTGTTCCCCTTTATATTCCCCCTTATCTTCCCCTCTATCCTGTTGAAATACCCCCGAGCTGCCCCGTGCTGGGACAGGCGGTGCAATCCCGTCCCTCTCCCCCTTCTCTTCCCCTTCCAGGTCCCGTCTGGCCGATTTCCACACCAACTGCCAGGCCACCTTCCAGTCCCTGACCAGCTGCCCCGGGGACAACTACCAGGCGTGCCTGGGCTCCTACGCGGGGCTCATCGGTGAGTGGCAGCCTCGGGCTGGGGAAGGGTCCCCCTCCCACCGTGGCTTCATCCCTGTCCCTCCTCCTCCTCCTCCTCCTCCTCCTCCTTGCCAGGCTTCGACATGACCCCCAACTACGTCGACGCCAGCACCACCAGCATCACCATCTCGCCCTGGTGCTCCTGCAAGGGCAGCGGGAACATGGAGGAGGAGTGCGAGAGGTTCCTCCGGGACTTCACGGAAAACCCCTGTCTCCGTAAGGCGCTTCCCCCTCTCCCCCTGCCC